TATCCTAACCCTCAGAAAAAGTGTGATCAAGTTCTGCTTCTTTTAGAAGCATTAATGGTAGAAGTAGGAAGGTGTGATAGATGGGGTTGGAGGTGTAACTCAGTTGGTAGAGTGCTAGCTAATGAACAAAAGTGAAGGTACCAACTTTGAGTCCTGGTCTCAGACCTAAAACAACCCAAAAAACAAAAACAAACAACAGGGGGCTGGGAAGGTGGCTTATCTTGTATGCACGAGGCCCTGGATTCTATTCTTCAGCACCACATAAACAGAAAAATCCAGAAGTGGTACTGTGGCTCAAGTGGTAGAGCGCTATCCTTGAGCTGAAGAGCTGAGGGACAGCGCCCAGGCCCAGAGTTCAGGCCCCACAACTGACAAAAAACAACAACAACAAAAACAAAAAAACAGGAAAGGAATAGGGTCCCAGATTTATTTGGGGATATTTTGTTATTTATGTTAATTAATAATAGTTTTTTTTTTAATTTTTTTTTTGGGGGGGGATCTGGTCATGGGGCCTGAACTCTAGGCCTAGGCACTATCCTTCAGCTCTTCAGCTCAAGGCTAGCACTCTACCACTTGAGCCACAATGCTACTTCCAGCTTTTTTCTTTTTGCTTATGTGGTGCTGAGGAATTGAACCCAGGGCCTCAGGCATGCAAGGCAAGCGCTCTACCACTGAGCCACCTTCCCAGCCCTAATAAGAGTTTTTTAGGTTGGCAAATTCTTGAGTATTGAAATGTTAACATAAAAGAGAACATTGTTGTTAATGCCATAGAGCAAGTTTCTTTTTTTTTTTTTTAAGATATATTAGCGTTGACATGGAAAAGTACAGGGTATTTTGAGGAAAAACACCCCAAGGCTTTAAATAAAAAATACAGGGGCTAGGAATGTATCTCAGTGAGAGAACGAGTGTCTAGTGTGCACAGGTCCTGGGTTTGATCCACTGCACTCAAAAATGAATGGATAGGTAGGTAGATAGATAGATAGATTAGATAGATAGATAGATAGATAGATAGATAGATAGATAGATAGATAGATAGATAGATAGATAGGACAGATAAGATAGACATGTTTGCTATATAAATTAGACTATGTATTCAAGTCTTCTGTATTCATGAGTTCTGCATTACCTACCACCAATTGAAAATATTCAGCAAAAAAGAATTACATCTATACTAAACAACTGATATTTTTCCCTCATTAATTCCCTAAGCAAATACAGTACAACTGTTTATGTAACATGTTGTTAGGTATTATAATTAGTATTATAATTAGGGCTGATTTTAAAGTATGTGGAGGATGTGCATAGGCTATTTACAGATACTGTGCCATTCTAGATAAGGTAGTTAAGCATCCACAGTTTCAGTGTCCACAGGCTCCTGGAATTAAGCCCAGGACATGGAGGAATACCATATATTCCGCTATAGCTGAAGATCTAGATCTATGCTAGCTAACAGATATGTCCAAGAAAGCATCTTTGAAATACTATGTTAAAAAAAATCATTAGCCCAACATGCTGCATTGCATCTAAAAGCTAATATTATATACTGGATTTCATCAGGGACCACATAGGACAGCAGTGTGCAAAAATTCTAATGACCATACTTCCAGATGTGTGGCTGAGAAGAGACTGAGGGCTGGAGTGCTTCCCCACGAGGAAAAGTCTCAATTCTTTAAAATTCCACATAAAAGACTGAACGTTAATTGTCGCTACCGCCTCGACCAGCAAGGAAGACGCGACACCGAACTCTTCTCTTTGCAGTTTATTCAGGACCTTTGAGCAATCTTCTGACCCCAACCCCGGGGAGAATTCCCCACAGCCTTAAGTACCCGTTGGGTAGCCAACCCTGATACGCCACGTGGGAACCACCAATAGGTTCAGGTGCGCGGAAGCAAGCCAGATTCTTTGCCTTAGCCATACAAGGAGTTGTTTACCACAGAGAGCACTCGCCATCGGGAAGGCGGAGGGCGGAAGCCGGCGCCATCTTCCAGGTGCGGCTGCACACAGCTCTCTACAGTTAATGATGTCACATAAAGTGTACAAAGACCTTTCACCATAGACATACAGGTCTCCTTTGGAGACATAATTTATGGATAAAAACAAACTTACTACTTATAAATACAGGATACTTAATTGCCTGTCTCTATATAATCTGAAAATGAACTTTTTAGAATTTTTTTTTTTGGGTCGGTCTTGGGTATTGAACTCTGGGCCTGGGTGCTGTCCCTGAGCTCTTCAGCTCAAGGCTAAAGCTCTACCACTTGAGCCACAGTGCCACTTCCAGTTTTCTGGTGGTTAATTGGAGATAAGAGTCTCACAGACATTCCTGCCCAGGCTGACTTTGAACCATAATCCTGAGAAGCTAGGATGACAGGTGTGAGCCACCAGTGCCCGACTAGAATTTTTTTTTATTCTACAATTTTATTAAGACAAAGCCTGACAGCATGGTATGAAGTTTATAGTTAGAATTTTCACAGATGACTAACATATATTCCTAGAAAGATTTTATGGTGTAGATCTAGATGCAAGATGTCAAGAATCCATAGAGCTCATGATTTTAGTTAGAGCAATTTTAGCTGGGTGTGGTGGTACACGCCTATAATCTCAGCATTTGGAAGGCCGAGGCAGCAGAATTGAGAGTTCAAGGCCAGCCTAAGCTATATATCAAGACCTTGTCTCAAAAAAAAAAGACCAAAACAAAGAGACATTTGAGGTAGATGTTAATTCTTAATATTGTTTTGTATCTTTTAAGGAAAGCACTGCCCCAGTATGAAAATTAATCTCTTGAAACAAGTGCTTTTTGGGATAATTAAACCCTTGAAGTGACTCCATGAAATTTGTGCTGTGACTGAATCCTGACACTAATGGTCTCAGAGTTCAAAAAACAAATTGCAAGGCTTTACCCTAAGAGCATGAACACTCACTCCCTCAGCACTCCCAAAATCAAGAGAGTAGCTTAAGTGGACAGATTGATAACAATTCGGGGGGGGGGAGGGAGGGTTTTTTGTTTAATTTCAAGATTTAGCACCTTTAAGACATCAGAATGGTCTGCCTGTGTATACTCTTCAATGAAAGGCCCCCCTTCAATTCATTTGCCATCTCCAGAGCAGCAGCTTTGTAGCCTCCTGGGTAATACAAAGCTGAGTCAGGGAATCCCTCATTCACAGTCATTCACTGCTTTTAAGCAGTCTTTCACAGTCTTCATTTATGGTGCCAGTGGTATTTTTTGAAAGCTAACCTGAATACAGAACCAAACTATTAGTTCTTTCTATTGTTTCACCATTTCCCCAATCAGCGCTCAAATTTAAACCAAAAATTTAAGCCAAAATCCTACCCATCTCCCTTCTCCCTGTCCATTCCTCCACTCCAAATAATACACCTATAACAGCCAAAAACTACACACATACAGAAATGTGGTTGACACTATTGGGAAGAAGGCTGTGGCTTGTGGAGATGCTCTTTGAAGACACACACACACACACACTTTTGCAAGTTCTGTCCTTCATAGAAGGCCCTTTGCCTTTCTCAGCAAACTACGGAGTGGGTTGCCTTGAAATACATAACCCTTCCCCCTCCTCTTGGGATGCGTGTGCCAACTACATAGTATGGAATGGCTGTAAAGTACTTGGAAGGCATAGAAACTATACCAGCTTTTCAAGGAACCTTTTCTCAAGCCGCATTTATGGTATCAGAAGTAGAACTCCTTTCTCCCCACTTGAAACCACAGTCAGAGGTGACAGGAGCTGGTGTCATCTTCCGAGGGGTAAGAATGCTATTTCAGCCTTTAGTCATAGAAGGGTATGACAACTGTGAGCACTTAGCATCGGCTTCCTTGGCAGGGACTATCTTACCCGTTTTTCATTTCATCAGGGACATGAGCTCTCTGTTGGGGTCTGTAGCTCCAGTAATCTGCTCGGGCTCCCAACCCCTGGGCAAAGCCTTGTGGTTTTCTGACTTTTTTTCTTTTTCTTTGGTTTTCCTTTCTCTCCTTTATCTTCAGAATCAGCATCTGCTTTACGTTTGCCTCCCTCTGATTTATCTGTCTTATGTGCTGTTTTCTGTGACTGCAGAAACGCAGCAGTGAGGTTGGAGCAGTGCAGGTTCTCTTCTGGCTCCCATCTGTTGCTCTTATCTGAGAAACCTTCCACTTTAGGAGGTATTCTACTTTGCCCATTACAACTTGACTTTTTCCACCACCTCCTCTTCTTCCTCCTCTTCTAGTATCTCCTCTACTTCTTGTTCTGTTTATTTCCCATTGGGCCTGCCAGCTTTCTGGTGTAAAGGGTGACACTGCTCAGAGCAGCACTCAAGAGTCAGAGAGGAATTGGTGCTACAGAAGTGTAGCACTGCCCAGCTAGTGGTGCCCAGGAAAGCAACATGATAGCTGGCCACAGTCAAATCATTTCTGAAGTGGCACACCACAGGCCCACTACTGGCCTTCCTCTCTGCCAAACAAATGAGCCTCTGTAGAAAACTTCTGATAAAAGTTCCATGTACATTTTGGAGAAAAAGTGTACTGTTGTTAAGAAACAGAAGGGATCAAATGGTTTTAATAGTCTTTCCAGTCCAAAACTGCCAGAATTGAATGAGGCCCTGGTATTTAGAGTATTCTCTTGCTCTTTCTTAGTAAAAAGCACCCTACATTAGCAGGTAGATTGCAAGCTCCATGTACAGTAAGTATATCTTTAGCACATATTTTCATATTGTATTTATTTTTTATTGACTAGCCAAGGATACAGTTGCCATTGTATTTTCAATTCAATTGTATTTTCATTCATCTTTTGGTGGTGCTCAGGATTGAACCCACGATCTTATACATTCTAGGAAGTACTCTGCCACAAGCTATACCAATTTTAGAATTTTCTCTTCTTTGTTTTAATTTCTTATTAAATAATAGCATTAAAGAAATTAGAATAGATATCAGAGGAGTATGATTTAATTCTTCAGGCCATGGCTGGTGACTTGCTGTCACATTATGTGCTGCCATTTTCTTCTCTCCCCAGAGCCCGGCATTACATCCATATCCCGGTGCACTTCAGACCAGAGGCTGCAGGCAGATTTGAAGCATTGCTTATTATTCAGACGGATGAGGGCAAAAGTGTTGCTGTTCGACTCATTGGTGAAGCCCTTGAAAAAAATTAGAATACATGTTGTGTAAATTACCTGTTATATTTGGGAACTTTGTTTTTCTGCACTAAAATTATGCTGTTGTATATATATTTGTGTGATAAATTTGATGTGTGTAACTATATATTTTTATTTGTTTTGAGAAGTTAATCCTGAAAACCTGGCTAAAATATCATGTTTTTAGCACGAAGTATTGTATTAACTTCTACAAAAGAGGAGAGAAATCTATTTTTGCACTGATTATGGTATTCTAAATAAATACAGAATATGTTTGATTGTGGTATATCCAGAAATAAACTTAATTTTCTATTGAACTTGACTTCTTTATATGATGTCCTAAAATGAGGCTATAAGGGCTAGAGGCAAGTGCAAGTAGTAGAGCAACCAAAAATACATGTAGACTATCATCTTATTCTGCTAAATTTCCAAGGTTCTAAATCCGTTCTGTAATTTTTTTCCCTTACTCTATTCAGCAGTTTCTGCTAAGAAAACCTTTGTCTTTTCCTTCTTAGTAGATTGTTTAGAGTCAAGTCCTCATATTCTGTGCAAATAAAGTGGAGTGAGTGACTGATTTTTCAAGAGCCACTTATAAAACTAGACAGGATAGCTGATCCAGTGTGGGGCCTTTGCAAGCAGCTATTGCAGGGCATGGGGTGTGGGGATGGGAGGGCTGTTCTGTATGCGTTGGGGAAGGTGGCAAGGATGTGGGAGCAACTGATATATCACCTGGGAGTTGGAGCCCAACCAACAGCCTTCTGAGAAGCAGCACCTGCCCAGGTCATGGGGTCTGCCATTGTATTACTGGTGGGGTAGAAAGGCTTCAGGCTTGCAGAGAGCCGCCTGCATGACTTTGACCCAACAACAGTTGAAAACAGTGATCATGAGTTTGATAGAAAAGCAAATCTCTTCTTTCCTTTTCTAACTAATTTTTGCCTTGCATAGAAATTTCGCTTCAAAATCAAGTTGGCAAAAATGTTTTTCTCAAGTTAAACAAGTGGTGCTTTTTTTCTGATGTCCGATTCTGGAGGATTTTGAATGTCACATGTGACATTCCTTCACACTTGAATGTGTGTTTATTTGACAACATTCCGACTCAAAAGTTTTTAAGTGGTGGTGTGTGTTTTAAAAATGGTAGCATGGGTTTGCGTTCTTAAGGATTGTGATGTTTGTATTGCTTTGCCTTAGAGGTTAAAAAAAAAAGTTAAAACAACTGAAAACAAAACACTACCACCATCTTGTTCAGTTGCAGTTCTTCATCTGTCTCCTTGTCCTGGAAGTATGCTGCCTGGAGTTTTCAGAGCAGTTGGCTCCTGAGCAAGTCATCCCTGAAGCTACTGCAGGTCTCAGAGTAGCTGAGGTACAAGTGTCTAGTGGGCAACCCACAGTGCCAGGGTTCCTGGGTCATTGCTAACATCATTCCTTCTGGAAGCTGCTGCCCAGTCTTCCTGGCCCTCCCTACATTGATGCCTCAGGGCTGCTCCAGGCTTGTGTGTCTCCACCTGAGACTTGCTTCCCTGCCATCCTCATGCCTCTCCCTGGCTCATCTCACCTCAGTAGTCATCATTCTGTGTTTATCCCTTCACTGTCCCTTCATCCTCTGGTGGGGCCCTGCCTTGCCTCTCAAGCCCTTCCCCACGTTCCCACTGATCACTAAGGCTTAGCTTTGCAGTCTCAGGTTCTTCCAGCCAAGCCAATCCCTATCCTGGTTTCCAGAGTTCTTTCCCACACTCTCTAGCTGGCTCCTTACCTCTCAGATCTTTTCCTGTCTGCTTCTCCAAGGCTAATGCCTGGCCTGTCCACAGCCCCTCATTTCGAGTAGTTTCTTATGTGGATGCCAATTAACTGGGGTGTAAGCTCCAAGGGGCAAAGGCCTAGACCTCTGCACACCAGGCATTCCCAATACATGGCCAGAACTTTATACAGTGGATGTTGCCAGTGGTTACCAGCAGCTCTGGCCACTTTGGCTGCACACCTCAGTTCTGGAAAGTTCTCAGGCAGGTGCCAAGCTGCCTCTTCCCATCCCCATGAGCTTTGTCTCCTCAGGAAGAACTTACCCCCAAGGGATCTACCTGGTTCCTCACCAGTCTCCTGCACACATCTAGCAGGGAGAGCCCAACCCTTCCTTCTGCTACAGCTTTCCAATGCTACAAGGGCATCTTTGGAAGCCTTTATAGGGGTCTGGTGTGGTGGGACTTCACAGTCCTGGCTTCACAGTTGATACTTGGATATCAGAGAGGTTCATTACCTAGAAGTTGAGACTCAAACATTAGTTTTTATAATTTGAATTTCCAGTTTCAGATCATAGAGATCAGAGAAAATGTAACATCATCATATAGCCAGTTTCCAAAGGTGATTCTCTGGTTGTAAAGCAGCCTTAAGACTGCAAATAAATGTTTTTTTTTTTTGCTGCATCAGTTCACTGGAGAGTATAGAAGAAAGAATGCCTCTTGTCAACCATGAAGACATTTTATAGTTAAGACCTAAAATTCTGCAGAACTCAGTGATGATTAATGTGCATCATTATTGATTTAATTAGTCCAGCAATGAGATCAGGTAAGAGGACATCTGTGTTTAGTCTTCAATTAAACTCTGAGGTTGGGATGACTTTGTAGATAACGATAGATAGACTTTATGAGACCTAGGTCTCTGGGGGAGAATTAAATTGGATCATTTCTTATGACGGTTGCCTTCTCTTGGCTGTTTTTTTAAATGACATTCCTCCCTTTTCAATTCAGGACCTAAAGTTGGATACTTAACATACACCAGATGTGCATGGCACAATGGTAGGTCACCAGCCACAAATGAAAAAGCTGACAGCATGAAACCTGAGGTTAAGCCCCAGAACTGGCACAAACAACAAAAATACGCTTTTCTTATGACCTTACCACAAAATTCATGGGTATATATCTGAAGAAGTATGAATCAATAGACAAGAAAGAGATGCATACCCTGTTTGTTGAAGCTCTATCTATAATAGAAACTGGAATCAGCTGAGATATCCAACAACAGGAATAAAGAAAATACATTTCTAAACATATGGACTATTTGTCATGAAGAAAATAAAATTGTTTCATTTGCAGGAAAATGGATGATACTGGAGATAATAGTAATGTAATGGGAGATGAATGGAAAAGGTAGACTGTCAAGGTGGGGATCAGTGGGAGAAGCAGGCAAAAAAGGAGGGAATCTGTGGTGAGAGAATTGAAGGATGTTTATGAGTACAGCATAAGAAACTCATCTAATGCTGTTTGAAGGAAGGGGAGGATTGGGAAGGTACTATGGCAGAGGGGATGAATATGTTCAAAGTGCCATGTGTGCATTTATGGAAATACCACAATAACCCTCTAATATTACAAATATATGTTAACTAATACATAAAAGTAAACTTTAACAAAGATAACTTTAAACCTCCATGGGAGCAGATAACTAAGAGGAGCCACGAGGGCCATCACGTCTGGTGTGTTATTCTGTGACATGAATTGGCTGTGGTGGTGCTAGTCCTAGGACTACAACTAACATTCTGCCTGCAGAAGACTGCAGAACTGTGGGTGCCATAGCTCTGGTTCTGTGTCTTGGCAATGTTCCTTAGGAATTCGCTACAAACACAGGTCATGGCCACAGCTATTTATGGCTCCTATCACTGGAGGTTTTTCCTCTTTTCAGGGGGAGGGAGGCTACTGGTCCTGGGTGCTGAGTTTTCTGAGCTTTTCTTCCCAAGGCTAGAGCTCTACCATTTGAGTCCCAGCTCTACTTCTGGCTTTTTTTTTTTTTTTGTAGTTAATTGGAAATAAGGGTCTCACTTTTCTGCCCAGGCTGGTTTCAAACCACAATCTTCAGATCTCAGCCTTCTGGGTAGGTAGGATTACAGGTGTGAGACATCTAGACCTTGGCATCACTGAGTTTGATATGCAATTTCTCTGCTCTGGCCTCAGTGTTCCTTGAGCACCGCGACCAGTCTAGTATCTCCTGTTTGCTGTTATTGCTGTTTTTGTGCTGGTACTGGGGCTTGAATTTAGGGCCCGAGTACTGTCCCTGAACCCTTTATGCTCAAGGCTCATGCTCTATGAACTACAGCTCCACTTCTGACTTTGTGTGGTTAAATAGAGGGAAGAGTCTGAGACTTTTCCTGCCCAAGCTGGCTTCCAACCACAATTCTCAGATCTTAGCCTCATAAGTAGCTAGGATTACAGGTATAAGACATAGGCACCCAGCTATATCTCCTGTTTTGTAGGGACAAATTCCTACATTTATGTTTTATGTTTTGTTTTGCAGTGCCAGAGATTGTACTCAAACTCTCTTGCATGCTAGGCATGCTAAGCATGCTAGGCATGAGATGGGTCTTGCAGATTTTACCCAGACTGTCCTTGAACTCCCAATCCTTCTGCCTTCACCTCCGGAGTACCTGAGATTACAGGCATGAACCATTACACTTGGCTGTCAGATCTTCCTTTGGTTTGTACAGATCTTTAACTGGTTTCAGAAATTTTATGAGTATTGGTTGAATAGTTCTAATTAGTGCTTTAATTAGAAAGTTGTGTATAGGTCCCAAACACTCATTTTACTTAGTCCAATTTTAGTGTGGGAACGGAAGGATACTTAAGAAGGCATATTTTACATTATAATAGAACTTACTTTGTGTGTTTGTTTTGAAACAGGGTTTTGCCATGTAGCCTAAGTAGGATTTCAAATCTTCATCCTCTTGCTTCAGCCTCCTGTGTGCGGAGATTGAGGAGAAACAATGTGTACTCTCTTCCTAGGAATGGCAGGCAGAATCTCCTTTTCCCACCACCTCTCCTTCTGGGCTTTCTGGGAGCATGGCCTCAGGATCCACATTTCTCCCTTCTGTTAGTGGCTGGGTTCTGCAGTTTGGGGGAGTTGAGTTTAACTCAGGAAAGAAAATATTAGGAAGCATCATAGTGATGGTCTAAGTTTGTCTTACAGCCTCTGTTAGAATCTATGTCAGTGAAACCTGGTGGGAAGAAGGGGCAGTGTGTGGTGAGGGCCACTTTCAGATCTGAATCAGGAAGCAAAGCAGCCCGAATGTGACTGGCTGATGAGATCAACAAGACAGAATGGAATCCAGAAAAGCCCAAACCCATTCAGACACTTAGTGTCTGGTAAACATGGCATTTCCATGGAAGAGATGAGGTTTCTCAAAATATCATCCCGATGAATCACACATTAAAATAAAACTACGAGGCCCAGAAGAGAATGTGGGAAAACAGTGTCACTAATTCATTTCCAGTGAGAAACAAAATGAAAAGCCATATAAAAAATATGGATAAGTTCAACTGCCTACAGATTAAATTTTTCT